GCACTATTCCGAATTCAACAAGCGTCTCGACGAATGGGTGCCCGCAAAGCGCCTCGTCCTCTCCCGCGACCTCACTTTCCCTGCTCCACCGCCCCCGCAAGCATCCACCCAGCCAGGCTCCAGTCGCAAAAAAACTGCGCAGCACAGGGGCAGCCTACCGGGCACTCCATCTGCTGCCCCAGCAACTCCCACAACGGGTGGAAGGACGTCATCGTCAGTCAATCTGCTCAGGCAAGCTGCCTTGGCCGCTGCCCAGGGAGCTGGCGATGCCGCCAGTCAGGGTCGGGATGGGTCGCAGCTTGCGGCTGGCCAGAAACGTCGGGCAGCGTCTCACGAGTCTGACGATGCTGGCAGCGAACCTGTCACACCTTCCACGCCTCACGCGGACGTGGAAATGTCAGATGGCGAAGCTCGCCCGCCGGGTGGAGGTGTGGCGGGCGAAGGAGATGCCGTCGTCTCGATGGAGGTGGTCACAGAGCAAGACGGCGAAGGCGAAGACGTTGGACCGCAAGATGTCCTTGCTGCCTCGGATGGCACGTCGCTGGACCCTAATGCCCGCAAAAATGCGCCTATCAGCAAGGAGGCCGAGATTGAAAAGCTGCGTACCAGCGGTTCCATGACGCAATCATCGCATGAGGTGTCAAGAGTCAAGAATCTCAACAAGATCCAGATGGGAGCACACGAGATCGAGACGTGGTACTTTAGTCCATATCCAGTCGAGTATGCGTACGTCGATATGCTCTACATTTGCGAAATGTGCCTCAGCTACTTCCCTAGCGACTTTATGCTTCGTCGTCATCGGCAGAAATGCGGCTTGGTGCACCCGCCGGGCAACGAAATTTATCGACACGAGGATATCTCGTTCTTTGAAATTGACGGCAGACGGCAGAAGACGTGGTGCCGCAATCTATGCTTGATCAGCAAATGCTTTCTGGATCACAAAACGCTGTACTACGACGTCGATCCTTTCTTGTATTACGTGATGGCTCAAAGGGATGATGCCGGCGTCCACATCATCGGCTACTTCTCCAAAGAGAAAGAGAGCGCTGAAAATTACAACGTCGCTTGTATCTTGACCCTTCCACAGCATCAGCGTTCGGGATTCGGAAGGCTACTTATCGAGTTCAGCTACGAACTTACGAAACGCGAACATAAGCTAGGCAGCCCCGAAAAGCCGCTTTCGGATTTGGGACTACTCGGGTACAGAGCGTATTGGGCGGAGACGATCGTTGAGCTGCTTCTGCGCACAGAGGAAGACATCTCGATCGAAGAAATCTCCAACAGGACTGCCATCATTCCGTCCGACGTCCTTCACACGTGAGTCGCAGTCATTCGAGGGATGGGACAAGATCCTTTGTTGCTTACACCGCTAGTCGACCACCCTCATGACAGCTGCACTGCGCTCAACATGTTGAAGCACTATCAAGGCAAGCACTACCTGGTGCTGAACGACACAGTCTTGCAGCAGCACGAAAAGCAAATGAAAAAGAAGCGCCGGAGGATTGTGCCAGAGAAATTGTATTGGGAGCCTCCAAAGTTCACCAGGTACGTGCGCAGAGTTTGTATAAGTCGTGAACTTCGAGCCGATGCCATCAGCGGAACTTTGCTGATCGAGTCGCGCACTCTTGACTCTACAGAGAACAACTGCGTTTTGGCTGGTAAGCCCCTCTGTCAAATCACCAGCCTTTGCGAATCGCCTTTCCGTGTTCCGTTCGAGCTGTAATTTCCCATTGTGTATCATAGCAACATCCACACGCTACCATCTATGCGGTTCTTCAAGAGTGATCGCTCAGCTACTGGTGATGACTTGATTGTGACGGTCTCAGCCGTCGTCCAGATACATGTCTGGCTGGGAAAGCCGTGCGGTAGCTGATCATATCTTAGGTGCAGCCGTGTGACGCCATAAAGCTTTCACCTGCTGGACAAATCACTTCAGCAGACCGAAAGTGCGAGTCGCAATGCTGCTTATCACTGCCATCCCGGTCCTGGGCAAAGGCAAGACAAAAGATTGCCTGATAGAGGAGAAGGATCACCAACTCGAGATCAAAGATTGCGTGATCAAGACACAGAAGCACCTGCTCAAAATGAAAGATTGCCAGATCAAGTCTAAAAATTGCAAAATCGAGTCAAAAATCCGCAATTTCAGAAGACCAAGGATCAACTCATCAAAGCCAAAGATGAGCTGAGAGAGCATTTGAAGCGCTTGAGCAAGATCTGCAGTCGTGAGTGCTAGTGATGGTGAGCAAGGCAGCGCACCATCCAACAAGTCTTGGGCATTATGTGGTGCAAGAGCTTGGTCTTTTATTGCGCGTCTGCTGAGCATTCACAACTCTGGCAAGACCAAGTCTGAAGTAAGCAGTGGTCAGGAGGAGTCTGAAACAGGTATGGCCAGAATTCTTGCCATGGGAATGGGAAGACAAGGAAGGGCAAGGGACAAGTCCAGCAACAAGGAAAGGGAATATGCCCAGTCCAAGCGCCGTCTTGCCACCTCCAGCCCCAGTCTGGCAAGTAGGGTGCCTTGGGGAAAAAGACCTCTTTTTCTGGGTGATAGATCTTTCGACGACAACTCGGAGGAGGAAGAGTTGTCTCTGC